AAATCACACAACAATCATCAATGGAATCAAATGTTTTAAGTAATGGAGGCCTGGATTTGGTGTCACACACAAAACTGAAGTGTAAAAAAAAAAATAAAAAACACTTCAGGCTGACCCAACTTTGATTTCGATCTATCTTCTCCCGCTTATTCCACCAAGGAGACTAAAGTAAAACTTTTTGGTCATAATTCCACTAATCGTTTTTTGGAAGAAGAGGAATGATGAGTACTGTACCATCCCGAGAACACCAATCCTATCGTGAAGCATGGGGGTGGTATCATTATGCTTTAGGCGTGTTTTTCTGCACATGGGACAGAGCATTGAAGATGGGTCGAGGCTGGGTCTTCCATTATGACAATGACCTGAAGAACACAGCCAGGATAACCAAGGATTGGCTCTGGAAGAAGCATATCAAGGTTCTGGCTTGGCTTAGCCAGTCTGCAGACCTAAACCCAATGGAGAATCATTGGAGGGAGCTCAAACTCAGCCCAGAAACCTGACTGATTTGGAGAAGATATGCATGGATGAGTGAGCCAAAATCCTTCTTGCAGTGTGTGCAAACCTGGTGGAAAAACTCAGGAAATGTTTGACCTCTGTAATTGCAAACAAAGGCTACTGTACCAAATATTAACATTGATTTTCACAGGTGTTAAAATGCCTATTTGCAGCTGTATCATACAAATAAAAAGTAAAAAAAAAAAATCATACATTGCGACAGTGGCGGCTGGTGGAGTTTTGTAAAGACAAATCTGTGTTTTGCATGGTCTAATATTGTTTCACCAACCCAAAAAAATTATGTGCCAGTTTAATAATGGAGAAGCTATTAGTCAGCTTTATATATATTTTTTGATATAAAAAAAACTATTTATTTTCTGAGAATGTGTTTATTTAAGAGCAACTATGCAAAATAACAAACACCTAGAAATAGTACACTATAATATATTATTTTCCATATGAATCCCATATAGCTCATGCTTCCTTGACTTTTCAAAAAAGTGCTTTAAATCAGTCCTATCTGTCTTTATCCATGCTGGGTCAGATCGTGACACTTGAAAAAGGAGGCAGGGAAAGCAGAATGAAGTGTTAGCCTCGCTACCTGCAGTTAGCCAAGCCTTCTAGACAAACCAGGTCCTGAAAAGGGACATTTCTTGCGCAATTTCTCTATCTCCAATGAGTCTCCAACTCCTGCAACTCGACCTATAAATCACCTGCAAAAAGTCTGCACTGTGGCGGGAGTTGGTGAGCAAATACACTTCCTGTCACCTTCGGGGCGCAGCTCTCCTGCACCCAGAGCTCTCCTATACCTTTGTATTGCAGAGGAGCTGCTGTACATGTACAACTTTTAACGAGAATCAATGGGCAAAGATTTTTGCACCCTAGGGCGGAAATACATCACTAGTCTGGCGAAAAATGGAATGAAGCTTTACTAGTAATTAAAGAGTATATATTTATCTTGCACATCTAAAAAATATATATTCATGTATTTCAAAATATTTAAAAGTTTAATTTAAAATGTATTTTTTTTTTTTATGTCTTAATCAGGTTCATTGAGTGGGTGGGGCGATGACCTAGCGCCCTCTATTAGCTAGCCGCCACTGCATTATGATTTCTGGATTTGGTTTTATTAGATTATGTCTCTCAAAGTGGACATGCACCCACGTGGAAAATGTCAGGCCCCTCCATGATTTCTAAGTGGGTATACTTGCAAAATAGCAGGGCGTTTAAATAATTATATTCCTCACTCTATCTTCTTTCCACTTCTAAATGCAGATCGAATTTCTGACAGCTTGTCACATAATACTCTCAAAAGTCATATCATTCTGTTAAAGTTCTAACAGTACACATACTTTTGCAAAAAAAAAGGGGATTAGATGTAATATATTTTGCCAACCATGATGTTTTTTACTGTTAATGTTTAAACAGAGATTGTTGTTTCTACATATCATGTGATTTACATTTTGAAAGTTCTGCTGCAACAAAAGCTCCACAAATAATACGACATAAGCAACAAAACAATGTACTTTCATTCTCAAAATTGCCCTTTGGGGCTTTAAAACACACACACAGAAAGGAAAGACAGAACTGCTGAAGTTGTAGTGTTTTTATTTATGATTTAAATCCAGTCATTTATGGTTGCCTTTGCAAATCAGGAATCAATATTTCATCATCTAGCAGAGAAGGCGGTTCCCACGGCAAAAGGTCAAATTGTCATTTGGGTAACACTCATAAATTTCAACAACATCAGAATGAGTTTGTTTTTAACTGCCTGTGATGTCTATCAGTTAAAAAAGTTAATGCTTCAACTCAAACTCTTGGTTCATAAAGACATTCTTCCAGTGAGATGATTATGATTAAGGACCAGAAGTGACTCACACCTTAGAAAAGTACCCTGATTCTTTGACTTTTACAGTACTGAGTTTCTGTTGAACAAATGAAGTATGTTCCATTCTTTTGGGCTAACTTTCACTAGTTTTTGCGAAACTTACTCTACTAAGGCCAACAAACATTTGCTATCTCTGCTTACAGTTGCGCGGCAATTGTGTAAAATCACCGTCTAGTCCAGACATGGGCATACTACGGCCCCCGGGCCGTATACGGCCCGTTAGGCTTTTTAATCCGGCCCGCCGAACTTGTCCTAATTACCCTATTTTCACGACTGTAAGGCGCACATAAACGTCTTTTTTTTTTTTTTCCTCAAAATGTGCGGTGCACCCTATGTGTGTTGTAACTGCGACTTTTGAGACCACCATGCACCATGCAGAACTCCTCATCTCCTCATTGAGGAGATGATGAAAGCGTGGCTGAGGGAGGTGAATGTAAGGAGACCAGGTGTTTTTTTCCCACTCATCACCATCTCTGGTAATCTGTGACTGCATGCGTGCCCATCTCACAGCTGATGTGAAAAACATGGTGAAACAAATTAACGCTGTGCTCGCTGTTATTCAACCGCTCGACATCGGTGTGAAGAGGTCTTGTGCGAAATTCTGTTTCCCCGTGAAAATCTGTTCCCCCTGTGTCGGGAGCGCGCATTGCAGCCAGAGAGGCGGATCTGACCATTCTTAAGGCGCTCCTGATCATTTTTCGGTAAAAACAGCTCATATAATCATCTCAACTTTGTAACATCCATTTTAATCTGTCGTCTTTTTAAGAAATTGTAAAATAAATACATTAACGAGGTCCTCACGCTGTTTTGTGTTTTTTTTTTACGGCAAGAGAATCGGTATTTCTCCAACTTTTGTCCCTTCAGCCTGACAGAAATAAACGTCAGTCACCGAACACAACAACACGTAGTGTATTTTTAATTTTTCATTGCTGATATAAGAGGATGGAAACTGGCTGATAGCAGGGCACACAAATTAAGACGTCCTGCGAAGATGAGAGTAGAATTTCTGGTTAATCACCTTCTAATGTAAAATATGACAGATTACTGGATTAAGGACATTTATAGTATACCACATCACACATATCAATTTTAGAGAAATTGGAAACAGTTGCTCTTTATTTCCCAAAGATATGGGAGGAGGAGAGGAGATAATGGATGTTTCAGTTTACTGAAATATTCTGTTCCCCCTCCATAACAGGGGAAGAAATTGATTTACCTGCAAGTCTTTAACTGTGCTTATTCATCTCACCACCGAGAACAAATCCTGTGGATTTGGTCATATTTACTCTTTATTTGCAAAAATTTTAAGGGGGGGAACCATATATTTCAGCTGCCTGAAATAATCTGTTCCCCCTCCATAGGGGGCCTCTGGGCCGGGTCTCCTCCGGGTTCACCGCAGCGGCTGGCAGGTGTTTTTTCATCTAAATAATCTAAATCTTGCAGCTATATTTGATGTGATCAGTGGGAATAAAGTAGTTTTAATATGTTTTTAAGTGAGAAAGTCCACCTGAAAACTTAATAATTGCAGTCAGTTCATCCAGATTTCTACTGTCGGTGCACCACATACTAGCGGTACACTGACAGTAGGAACCCCTTCAACAGCAGCCTCTAGGCCGGGCAGCCTCCGGGTTCACCTCGGTGGCTGGCAGGTGTTTTTCATCTAAATAATTTAAACTGCAGGCACCAGGATACCAGCAATAAAAGCGATCATATTCGGTCGGGAGGTTTCAGGATTTTAAGTTAATTTAGGAGTCATCACAGCACTCTGTGTCATCAGCGACGTGTCTGTCTCAAGGCCAGCACGTAGGTTTGATTAATACTTTGTAATAAATAAATGAATAAAGCACAATCATACTCAGTTTTGCCCCTGCTCTATTTTTAAATACGCAGTAGAGGTATCTAAAGGTAGTAGAGGACATGTACCTGTATATAAGAAAACCCTATAGTCCAGTGCACCTTATGTGTGTGTTAAATACAGAAATGGGACACATAACTGAGACTGCGCCTTTTAGTACGGTGCGCCTTATGATCGTGAAAATTGTCTGTTTTTTTTATACATTTCAATCCCCAGGTTTAATTAATGACATTGCTTGTCCAAATGCTCCTGGCCCGGCCCTTCTGTCAAATTTTAGAACCCATTCTGGCCCGCAAGTCAAAAAGTTTGCCCACCCCTGGTCTAGTCCCTTCACCGGTCTATGTTCCTGTCCAGTCCATACCCACCCCTGCTCTTCTTCGCATTATTGTTGGCGGCTGTAAAATATGTAACTGTAAATCCTGTGAATTATAGAAACCCAAGGATCCATTCTTCAAAAAACAGACTTAAATTACACTTTAAGATTCTGAAATGTGTGTTCAAAGAGTCAGGATCCAGTTGTGCAATTCAAACAGAAGAGATTATGATGCCTTTGGCTAAATACAGCTAAATAGCTCACTGCATTTCAGAGCTATTGCTAACAAGGATACTGTACAATCAAAACTATCTATAAGTATATGCTAAATAAATCCCATGCGATTTATATGACTTAAAATATGATTCCATCTAAACTTATACTAAAGAATCACTTCAGTAAAGTGGGATTCAGGCTCTTATTCTGATAGGAATTAACAACAGCTTTACTTTTACTGCAGGTTATGTTATGAAAACATTATCCAATGTCTTTTTTTTCCCTTTTAGTTAAAAAAGGCAACCACTGTTTCTGACAATCCTAATTTTCATACCAAACAGATTATGTGATGCTCAGTCATAATTCATCTTTGCCCTGCAAATATGCAGGAGAGCCCAAGGTCGTACAGATCTGTTTTCCCTTCACATTGTTAACACTCTGAAACAGAAATCAAAACAAAAAAACCCACAGAAACATGCACTCTTCTTGGCTTGACGATTAGAATTTCTGGGCCGAGCATTTGACCAAGTCCTGTGTTTCTCACACAGTGGCTTGTCAATGGTCCCAAAAAAATCCACGAAAAGGTTAAATCCGCCAATGCCCAGAGAGAGGAAAACTATTGTCCAAATGGAAGAAAATGCCTCATCTGACCATTTTCTTTAAAACGCCTCAAGTTAGGTCCAGAGCCATGGCAGTTCAGTCTGACCCCTGGGCCTAAGTGGTCAGATGGGAAATGTGATATGTTCATGTTCTCTGCTTCCTCCCTCAGCAGCTGGGTGAAGTGGTTTGGTAAAATAAAAACTCTTGATGGGCTGACATGGAGAAGAGTTTTAATACAAGGGTTTCATCTAAGGAAACAAACAGTTATTGTCCAATCTTCAAATAAAACTACTCTGGTCTAACTATGGCTAAATAACTTTGATGTAAGAACTCTTCTTTAGTTCATTTATTTTACAGATATCTATTGTAACACCTACTCAAACTGCTTGCACCTTTATCTACCAAACTAACAATGACATTTTATAGTCCCACCCTGAGGCAGGAATACAGAAAATTATGTTTGTAAAAGTAGTTTTGCATTACAACCAAAATGTGGTAGAAGTATTAAGTCTTCTTCCCTATGAATATAACAAACTAACATGGATTGACCTTAAACATCTCTGATTACCAGATTTATTTTATTTGTTTTGCCTGTAAGTGTGTCACTACATGTTTAACATTCAAGACTGAAGGTTGAAAGAGAAATCCAGATGAATGATCTGCACTGAAGTGGACGTGGTCATGTACTGTAAAATTGTGTGTTTGTGTGTGTGTGTGTGTGCAATGCAGGAGTAGCTATGAAGAGTTAGACGTGTTGGGGCTCCAACCCATTTGATAAGCTCTCTCCAGGGTTCTCTTGCAGTCCTGCATCACTGTGCTGAACACGATGTGTGGGTACTGGATCACCAGCCTCTCCACCGTCTCCTCGTTCACCTGTAAAATGCAAATAACATATTGCTATTATAAGTAGTGTCGTGCAGATTCACAGGACCTAGTTTAAATTGGAGTTCTTATGAATGAGGAATGGATTTACCATTGCACAAAGTTGATGTTTAGATTAAGAGAACATTTATGTAACCAAATTTAACATATGCACATTCATCTGACTGTTTACAAGCTAAGCTACCAAAAAATGCTAGAAGTTGGTAGATGACATAACCCCCCCTGTATTTGGATTTCAGTTTGTTTATCTGATTGTTTCTTTTTACGCTCTGGGCTCTTGTGTATTTGATCTTATTATAGTCAAATTCCCTGAAAATATGCTGTCATTCATACATTCATGTGTTACTCCAGTCCAATGGGGGGAAAAAAGTATGACTAAGAAGAAAACTTTCAACAATATGTTTTTAATCAAGATGCCAAAGTATTTTTATCTTTTTCGTTCGTGAAATAATTTCTTAGTTAACATGAAAAAAATAAAATTTCACGAAATGTTGAAAAAAAAATGTACACTTTAAAAACTCTACTTTGAATAGATTTTCCTCCCTCTGTTGGTGTACATAAACAAAAAATGACTGGATCTCGTTTTATTCTAGATTAAAATGTCAGACTGGATAGCATAGACTAAGCAGAAGTCCTGCATATGCAGTTACTTTTTAGAGATTCGGTATTCATGACATTAAAGTTGCAGATAGCATTAAAATTTTAAATATAACCTGAAATATAATCATCAAGTACATTTAAAATCCAATTTGTCCATTTGTTTTGTTGCTTCTGCTATTTCATGTCTTTAACAATATTTATAGAAATAACAAACTCTTATATTGGTGTGAGGGATATACTGGAGTCAATGAGTCGATGCAGTCAGCTGGTTTTCCTTAGATAGAAAACTTTGAACCAATCTGACTGCTTGATCAGGTTGAATTATCTCTGTAAAGTGCCTGAAAATGACATTAGTAAAAAAACAGTAAAGCAAATATATTACTTTCAACCGACTTAATCCACATTTTTGATGGTCCATCTGAATTAAACAAACATTTTTTTTTTTAAATATGATTTCTGTGATGTCTCCTAAAACAACATCAGCTATATTAAAATTGGGCCTTGTGAAATAAAATGACTTAATTGTAGACTAATATATAGAACAGACAGTTTGCCATAGGGCGTGAAACGTATGGACATGCTTATCCACAAACACAATTGGACTGTGTCTGCGGGTTTTGTACCAGAGGACAGCTGAGCTCACTGGGCTAATGAGCCCTTCATGTTCTCAGAGGACTAGAAAGACAAGCGGCTAATAGCCTCTCTTGCACATCTTTGCCAGTCTAACACTCTATCAGAGCATCACTGAGATCCAAAAGTGAGTGAGTCTGAGAAGCTGACAAGGTGCAGAGACAGAAGAACCCTGGAGAGCAGAGGGGCTAAGATACAACCCACCTAGGACCACCAACCCCCAGTGATGCTTTTCAGGGGAAATCATGCATACATACTTAGATGTTAAGAAAACAGATGCATGTTGCATTAATCTAGTCATCGTTTGTTTTTGTTTTTTGTTTTTTTACTTTTACTAAACTAAAGGAAACTTCAAGCAGAGCTTTTTTTTTTTTTTTGCTTTTTGCTTCCGCTTTGGAAAAAAAACTTATTTTCACTTTCAAATTCCCTCTTCCCCCTTCCCTCACGTGCTCCTCTGTGGTTCCTTGGTAACTAGAAATAAATCAAAGAAACAAACAGAGCTGGAATAAAACCAGATGAATCAAAGGAATAATTGTTCTGGAGGAGACAAAACACTTATTTCTCTTGGGTCACGGAGGGAAAATGGAAACTCCAGACTGAAAATAGAAGAACATAACGCAGTTTCACCCTATCTTCTGATTGCCAAGAAATTTCACAGTGAGTTAAAAGTCAGGTGTCAACTTAGACTTCTCTTAGATCGCAGCAATGCCAGAAAAATTAAGTTAATCATAAGCAAACGGTTGGAAATTTGCTCGCAAGCATCTGCTCTGAATTTCTGATATTAAAATGCTTTGTAAAAGCCAAAAAATGTGCCTCCTCACTCATCTTTCCAGTCGAGCCTAAAAATGATAAAGATTGGAAAAGATTGGCTTCTAAATGTTAAATGTCGCACTATCTCCAATAAGGAGCTCTAAGTCAGTAAGATTCAGCAGGAGAAAATTCTCCCATTAAGTTCAGAGCTTTGTTCAGCAATCCATTAGCCGGTCCATTAATAAAACAGTGTTTTAGGATATTACTTTAAAGATTTCACATTATTTTGCTAAGCTAATATGAATATTCTAACTGCTAGGCAGTTTTATAAAACAAATCATCACATTCCCCATGCATTAAAAGATCAAGCCCAACAAGTGGAGGATTCCAACAGATAATATGAAAGGAAAGGGAGAAAGGGACCTTTTAGATATTTTATCCTCAAGGTTTATTCATACTGGGCATGAAAAAGGATATTGCAATCAAAGGATGCCTGCAGTGATTCTCTGACTGTGCCCAAAGTAACAGAGTTCCCCTTTCTGGGTACGCGGCCCATTTTAATCTGCCTGTATTTATGCAGAATTTCAATTTGAGCATAAGATTAACTTGGCATGAAATCACATTTTTTCTGGATGCAGTTTTTAGTGACTTGAAAAGTCTGTGAAAATGGTTCTCTTGACATAGAATGCAGCGCTGAACTACATTAAACAAAGGTTATTACTATTGCAGTACAACTACAGATAGTATTATAATGCAAAAACATATTAGACAATAATATAAGCAAATTTTATTCTGGCTGTTGGAGCCATTTAACATTATTTGCCAATTATTTTTGATTAATACATCAGTAAATGTTTTAGGACAGCTTTAAGAATCAGTGATAGAAATTTGAAAGCTACAATAAAGGCTACATGCAAATTCTTAAACTAGTTCATGGTATTTAATGTGAAATACTAAATTATTACTATTTCTTTCAAGCCTGCAGACTAAACTGTTTTGACTTTATGTAAGCAAAGGATCCAAAGCAGCAGGGATTTTATATCAGTGTAATGGAAGTGTTTAATGTCAATGGATGTCACTTCTCTTCCTTAGTGTTGTCCAGCACTGATATATTGTATGCATTGTACATTTCAGCTCAAATATATTTGCATCCCTAAAAGAATCGGGTCCAGAGTTAACCCCATCAACCTAAATAGCTTCAGCTCTTTAAAAAGGCAGAGGTCAGCAAAATACATCACACTTAAAAGTTAACTAGTATATGTTCTTTTAACTTCTAAATCCTGCTGCTGTGTCGTTGCACAAATTACACATTATCAAAACATGCCTCTCTTGGCCCACCAAAACCTTCTTCGCCTTTATGCAAACCAACCAATGCGTAGCAGTCCTGTTAGTTCCACGCATGGTGAGTCAGGGGCCTAACACAGACAGACTGACTTCTACCCTCCTGGTTGAATCTATAATTTTTAATAAAACACATGGAGATAAGGCAAAAGGGCACCATAGTCTTGCCTTAAGGTGAGTAAAGTGAAGTGAAGCCACATTTTCTGGTCCAAAGGGTCAATAAAGGAAATGTTAAAGAAGTTTTTCACTTCTAAATGCAACAGTTTCAAGGTTTTTTCTATCACTCACTTTTTATTCACTCAAGCAACTAAGAAACATTTGCTTTTCACTGCTCAATGTGTACAACTCCACTTGATCAGCAGAGTCCACTGGGTTTTAGATAATTTGTCTATAATAGTTATTTCCTTTACATACAGTAAACATAGTAATTTAGATATATCCTATTATTTCTCCACATATTTGTATTAGACAATTTTCTCTTAAGCTTACTGAGTTTTTTGTACTGGGATTAAACTACAGGAATTGTAAGTCGATACTTAAGGATACATTCAGCAGCTTCAATGCTTGCAGTCAATTCAAGTTGTTTGGTTGAAGTTTTTTTTTTTCCTTTACACTTTCCTCTGAATTTTTCAAAATGAAATACATCATCCCTGTTGTTTCCAGACACACAGGCTGCTCGTAACTACACAGCAGAAAACCACAATTTTTTATTAATTCAACATAACATTTGCAAAATTTGCCAATTAAAGTGTCTAAAGAGTTCTGAATTACTGATAAACATTGACATTGTTTGTTGCAGATAAACATGTAACCATTAATTGAATTCATACAGGACAGAAAAATGAAGAGAGCAGCAGTTAAACAGAGGGCTTCAAACTCTGCTGCTGTAGAGACAATAAGTTAAGTTTGTTTTGACATATGGGTGAGCCTCATTAACAAATAAAATGACAACCCCTTGATTGCCTTCATAGCATATTATGCTACATTCATGAACTGAGTGTGAAACATCCCCCAACTTGTTAATCAGGTCTTAATTACAATTAAAACCGATCTAAAGAATAGACCTGTCACACTGATGAGAGGCCATAACATTCATTAATGCTAATTTAGTGCAGCTCTACTTGGTGAGCAAACATAGCAAACACAACAAGGCTCCCAATCAAAATGCTGAATCATATGCTAATTGCTGGTTGTGAGACTGCTAAATGTTTCAGCTAGTTCTGGAAAGCTTTGATGAAAATCATGAGAAGAGTAGCTGGTGCTGACCTCTGCTTTGTTGCTCCTTATTACAATTCAGAAAAGAATGTAGTTCATAATAATAATAATAATACATTTTATTTGTATTGCAATTTACATTTAAAAAAAAATCTCAAAGTGCTACAAAATTCATAGTTAAAACAAAACCGTATAATAAAAACGGTATACATAGTTAAAATGAGACATTACAGTAAAATAACATACGTAGTAAAAACAAAACAGTAAAATAACCATAAAACCACACAGATAAAATACTAACTAATGTTCATAGGCTTTTTTAAATAAAAATGTCTTGAGGCCTTTCTTGAAGGCCTCCACACTCTGTGGGACCCTAAGGGACTCTGGGAGGCCAATCCAGAGTTGTGGGGCAACTGCCTGGAAGGCCCTATCTCCCATTGTGCAGAGCTTGACTC